AGTAGAGGTGGGGGGGGTGGTCAGCAAGAGAATGCAGATTCACCTCAGTCTCTCCTCCCCGCTGTTTCCGACTGCAGTGGTCTGTCTCGCCTCGGTCTCTGCAGATACAGGCGGGGATTGAAAGGGACATAGACCGCTGCAGCCAGCACCAGCGGGAAGGAGAACGGAGGAGCCGTTTGGGGGCTTGAAAGTTCAGTTGAGAGCTGAAATAAGCACACCAGCAACCTTGACAGTTGGCATGCCTTAAAAGTTACTGTTTAGGGAGACATTAAATTGGTTCCTCCTTAAGGCCCCGTTCACATATAGCGAATTGTCGCGCGATTTCCGCCGCGATATCGCGCATTTTTGCCGCGCGATATCGCGAGAAGTCGCCGGCCAATGTTATTCAATGGAGCTGTCTTAACTCCATGTCGCTCATCGCGGTCGCAAGTCGCTTCTACCGGACCCTTTTTTCGGCGGGTTTTGCTTTTTTTCTATGGAGCCCGAAGGGGAAGGTCACGCTACCGTCGCTGGATCGTCGCTGGAACGTCGCCCCGAAAGTCGCGCTATCCCGGCCGCGGCAAAGGTATGTCGCTATATGTGAATGGGGTCCAACGTAGAACTATGAGGTGAGTGATTTCCACTCATCCTCATAGTTAGAGCCGACGTGTGACAGTAAAACTGTCACAGGACGGCTCAATAGATCGGGAAGTTAGCGGAACACATAGCGTCACTCACTCACTTCTCGATCATCTCACTGCAGTGAGTGGTGACTGTCAGTCACGGCTCCCTGGCAGGGATTACCTGTGACGGACTCCCTGATACCCCGACTGGATATCTCCGTCTTAAGCCTGTTCCCTGGGTGCTGGAACCAGAAGCTAGTGAATATACTATTGGCTTACCCCAAGAATCAGACAATACTGAATTTGGAGTGGAAACATGAACTGATTTATTAAAGAAAGCACACAGAGTTTATACCTCACAGAATCAGATAAAAGTTCAGTGTGTTACCTTAAACAATTCCCACCCCTAGACAGCCGGGTGCCGCATTCAAATTCCTTAATTAGATGAGAGCTTGATCACATCATCCCAAACAATGGCCACTCCAGACAGCCTGCTGCCTTCACAAAATTACATTTAACAGAGATGGTATCCCAACAAATGGAAGTCCGGATGGTTCAAATCAAGTCAAATCGTGACAAGTTCTCTCTAGATAAAATATTAAACAGGAAAACACACACAGCAAACAAAGTTCTCCGGGGTAATAAATCTCTGCAGCCCTAGGTCCGTCACATTTCCCCCATTTCTGTGCACCACTTCCCCCCTACTTCCAATTGAGGACCCCGCACAGATTCCCCCCTCCCCCCCC